GTATTGCATGCCCATCATCTTTGCAAAGCTTTATACACTGCCAATTAAGATTCATTAGGGAATTTTAAGCTGAATACATTTACAAGGCTTGCCCGTGATCAAGAATCCTATCTTACCAGGACTTTCAATTGCAATGAAATTTGTAGACATATTTAGCTGAATACGCTTTTACTATCCAGAGAACATTGATTGTCAACACCTGAAAGAATAAAGATATTGGAAAATTGTTGAGGCTGGGATTTATTTGCATACCTTTTGCATATTTTCATAAAATAATTAAAACCATTGCTTTTGCAAGTTGTATATCTGCAGAGGATTATACTTTCTTAAATCATCTGTTTCCTGAACCTGTAATAACCCCAATTAAAAGGTTCAGATACAATGTTTATTCAAGGGGAAGATGAACCCCATCAGTTAGTTTACCTAGAAAAACTTCCTACTTCTTTTACATATTCTCAGTGAATCTAATGTTTAAAATATATTGGCGGGATTAGGGGGAGAAAGCTTTTCAGGTAAATAGAGTTATATTTTTTGTCCATAAATTAATGTTCTTGCCATAATTTAGCAGTGTTTGATATTGTCAAATGCAATATGCTTCTAGACCAGCTGCGGAGTTTAGCAGCAGGAGGCATGATTAGTCAATTCCAGTTGGAGTTTACCAGGTTAGTTTCAGTAATAGGTGTTTGTGGATTATACAGGGGATGAAGATATCCCTGATATTTTGGCTGTTCCTTTTCACCCATCAATAGTTGGGAAAGAAAGTATCTATGGTTGCCTCTAACATAACCTGGATGGACTGCGTCCTTTCCTAGTGACTTTTATCTGATTATCAGTTTTGAAGTGGAGTAATTGTAGCACCATGTTGAGACTAAATGGAATCAATTATTTGCAAATTACAGAATATAATATAATTGCAAAATACAAAATAACAGAGATGCAAGAGACCTTGGAGATCATATAGACTAACTCCCTGCTGAAGCAGGCAACCCTATGTCATTCTCAACAAATGACAAGTTGTAGGACAAGGAGTGGCAGAACCTGGGGGTAGAGTTAAAAGTGAGATCAGCCTAGAATCTCTATGTAGCCACAAGCACATTAACCCCCCCCTGAATTCCGCTGACCCTTATCTAAATCTAAGCAGGTGCTAACTGTTAGTTGAAAGGATTCCTATGCATAGGCATAATTAGTAATAAATAGGTTTATTAATTGGACCTTGATATGTGGACCTGGCCTTCACATCTGTCACAGGTATAATACTAAAGACAGGAACTAATTGAAAAGAGAAAAAAAGAAAAGGGCTGCAAAACTCTTCTTAATTTTGATAGCTGTAACATTTCTCTGAAAATAAGATAACACTAGGTCCACCTCTTGGAACAGCTAAACCAGGCATGTCAACTCGCGACGTCACGTGACATCGTGCAACGTATCGGGCTGGTTTTGCCATTGCCGGCAATGGGGTGGGTGCGGCTTCCACGTGACGCATCCGGCCCATGGGCCGGCAGTTTGACACCCCTGAGCTAAACAATTGAATAAAACAACTAAATAAAACCAGTTGTTTTTAATTCTGCTTTCTTCCTCTAATTAATATTACTTTCATTTATTCTCAGGTTTTATTTACCTCATGGCTTGAGTATAGATAATAATGGTAACTACTGGGTGACAGATGTAGCTCTTCACCAGGTATGTAGAAATAGTTTCTATATTAGCAAGAAAATCTAAATTTACTGCCTCTAACTAACACTTTGGGTATAATATTTGTTTTAATCTAGTGTGGTTTGAGGAAAATATTTGTCAATATTTTTTTACTGTATTTGGGTAAAATACAGTCAACCCATGGGCTGACATTTTATACAAAACCTGTGAATCCAGTTCTTACAATAGATTTTGCAATGATCTTATGAATCTTAATGTCTATACAGCTGTTCTCTAAAGAAAGATATATTCTACAGGTCAAATGTTTGATCTTCCTGTAAGCTATAACATTTTTGTATTAGTCTCACTTAAGTGAAGCTTTTTATTCTTTTACGTTGTTAGGTGTTCAAACTGGCATCAGATGGTGTGGAATCTCCTTTGCTCTGAAATCCCTCACGAAACGTTGGACCTTCGCTGTTTATAGTGAAGACGGTTGGGTGACTACACCGTCACCTAGGTCGTTGACCCTTATAAATACACAGACTGCCGATGACATTATCAGCATAACAAGTCAAGAGAGGTTTACCTTATAAACAGTACGTCACCCCTCTTCCATAACTTATCTTTCAATTAAGAAAAAAATCCTCTTTGGAGAATGGCTATAACAATGTATATATAAAATAAAGTTCAGATTTTGCCCTCCTCTCTCCCTCTAAGTCACATTGAAATCAAAGATTTGTACCCAGTGTTTCTCAACTTTAACAACTTTAAGATATGCAGACTTCCAACTCCCTGAATTCCTAGCCAATGCTGGCTGGGGAATTCTAAGAGTTAAAGTCCACGCATCTCAAAGTTGCTAAGGCTGATAAAATATTTTATAACATAATATACTTTTAACATTAATGCATTCTTATTGTATAAGGAGCCTAAATTACCATTGGTAATTTAAATGGGTAATAAAAAAGTATTAAACCATATGTTAATCATTTGGATATTTGGATTTTTCAAGATACAGATATTTTAATTCTTTTTATATACAGTCGTTTGTTAAATTTAGTCACTAACCCAAGAACAAGGGGAAAAGATGCTTAATTATATAAGTTCAGAGACTTAAAGTTGCAGTGGTTGCTTCACATTTTTTTCTTCACTTTATTTTTCTTTAAATGCAGGGGTCTTCAAACTTGGCCCTTTTATGCCTTGTGGACTTCAACTCTCAGAATTCCTCAGCCAGCGTGCCTGGCTGAGGAATTCTGGGAGTTGAAGTCCACAAGTCATAAAGGGCCCATGTTTGAAGACCCCTGTTCAAATGTGACCATTAATAGTAGCTTTAGTTTTGTCATATTTAAAATAAATATCTCTTCTTTCAGAAACTTCTGTAGGTCATGCTAAACCGGGTCAGTTCAGCATCCCTCACAGTTTAACTCTTGCATCTGACTTCGATCAGCTATGTGTAGCAGACAGAGAGAATGGTCGGATTCAATGTTTTAAGCCAGAAACAGGCAAATTTGTGAGAGAGATCAGACATCCATCATTTGGAAGAGAGGTTTTTGCAGTTGCTTACACTCCAGGTAAATATGAAAAAGTGTTGCATCGATCATTTCTATTCTTGGTCTCTGTGGCTCTTTAAGATTTTTTTCTACAGTTTTTAAAAAAATAAAATTTAATTATTGTCAATACCTGCAGATTTTCTTTTTCAGTGCTCGAAAACTAGTAGTCAGGGAGACTTTCTCTGTATATATGAACAAAACTATGTTTGTTAGCCATTTGTTTAGGAGAGAAATGGAACTCCAAAACAGAACTTTTGTTAGAGAGAAAAACATAGCCTAAATGCATAGACTATCTGCAACTGATTATGAATATGACCTAAAGAAATGGCAGCGGGTGTTAACCTAACAGAAAAGTCATGTATTTTTTCAACTAAACTGATGTTTCTTCCTAAGCTATATAAGGCTTCATAGTATTGTAGTCATATGTTCTGCTTGATACCATTCCTAATTTGCACATTTTCTCCTAAGCCTTTGGAATTTTTTTTTAGAATTTATTGATTTTTAAGAATTACAATCTTTGGTGCTTAGTAAACAATGTGTTGTCTGGGTTCATATATTTAACATTAACTTCTTCAATATAAATCTATTCAGTACTGCACAATCCAGTGTTTTTTCCCTGATCCTCCTTTCTCCCCCATATTTTTTCCATTTTCCCCTCATTACACAGTTACAATTCTTGCTACTATTGATGCACACAAAGTTAAATATAAATATCCTCATCATATTTTACTAATATTATACAAATAATAATATCAATTCATAAATCAATATCCTGTTTTTCATGTTCTTGCTAAAAATTTGATTTCCCATCAATATTTGAAATAACTTTGTCAGTTATGATTTTCTCAATATTAATTACATTTATATGACTAAGAGTTTTATTCATACCAGTCATCCTCTTATTTTCATATTTCCCATATCAAAAAAAGAAAAAATGCTATTTTAATTCTAAATTATATCTTTCATTATAAAAGTCTAATTATATCTAAGGATCATCCGTTCTTTTAATCATATTCAAACAGATATTTAATCATATAATGCCCCCTCTAATAGGTCAAATCTTCTGTTTTTTAAGTCTAACTCTCGCTTTCTTTCTTTGCTAAGTAGCTTTCCACACCAAGGCAATTAAATCGCCCAGGAATTTTCTTTCTAATTTTGTAAAAGTCGCTTGGCATGAGGAAGACAATTTAGGTAGGGTATTTGGTTTTTTTGGGGGGGGGGAATTCCGCCCATTTATATTCCTTAAACAACTCCCATTTTCCTTCTCCCTCAATTTCTCTTTTCATTTTTTGTCTCCCAAGTTGTGATATTTCCCCTGACAACTCTATATTCCATTTTTTAAAATCTTCTTTCTTATCATCAGGTATATTTTGCAGACCTAAGGAGCAAAATGCCTTTTCCATTTTCATTGTTATGGCTAAGTCTTGCAGTATTTTATTTGTATATGACAGTTTATATTTCCCTTCTTTTATCTCTTCTGTCTCTGGGTTAATTTCCTCTGCTTCATCTTCTGATTTCTGGTTTATTTGTTCATACAAATTTGTTCATACAAATTTGCTAGTTGTAGATTTAATTTGGAGATTTGCTCATTTATATTATCTAAATTGTTTTTAGTTTCATTATGGTTTCTTTTTGTGTCCTCTTTGTGTGCAACAATTGTTTGGTGAATTAGTTGTAGCATAGAGTATATTTCCTTCTGAAAGTTGTTTATTTTTTCTAGAGGCATCATTCCTTGATTAGCCTGGGTGGGGACTTCAAGTGGAGGTGCAAGGTATATTTTCTTACCACTTTTAGCTAGGTGTAAAACATCCATTTTGTTTTTTCCCTCCAGATAATCTGTCAAAACTTTTATGTTCTCCAAATACAAGTCTTGTCTAGTATCACCAATCTTAATAAAAGTAGAACAAAGTTTAATTTAGTTTTCTGGTCTTTATGTGTAGCCTTTGTAATCCAATAGGTTCCAGAATATAAGTCCAGTCCTAAAAGCACTGTTTTGTAGTGATCCTTTGTCTCAGGCATCCAATAATTGTTGATCAGGCAAGGTTGTAATCCACAATGTTCAAAGTGTTCAAAATGTTCAACCACCCTGAAAACAGTTCAGAAGTCTCTCCCAGCCAGACGTAGTCAAACGTCAAATTTTTCTTTCTCTCCCAATAGTTCTTGAGATTAAAGGTCCAAGCTCAGTAGGTGTTTATAATCCAAGAAGGTCAGGGTGATAAGTATGCCAAACTATTTTCCTTATTACCAGCTGTTCTCTATTAAGCTAGGAGTCACCAAGCAGCCAGGAATCTAGTTGTAGTGCTATAATCAAATCTACCACTAGATCTCATTCAAAATTCATTTTCTACTCTTAAAACAAAGGGTTGATTTCTTATATTTTACCTCAATTTTTTTTCCAAAGAGAAAATTTTAACAATTATCTAGTTCTCAAATTCATCAAAACTGTAGCTTTATGTTACTTCCACTTCAGTATTATGTATTTCTGTTCCCCATAAAATAAATTAAAATGCTGCTTCCATTATTTGGAAGGATGGGGCTACAATCTCCTTCTTTCTCACGTTCGGAGGTTTTTAGCTTCTTGGGAGCCTTTCCCAGGAAATTCAGTTGTAAAATAGTAAAAAAAGGATAAATATTTCCATCCACTTCCGAACATGCTGTTTATGATCTGCTAATTGGTGCTTTTCTTCTTCTGTTATCAGTGGCTAATGCAGCCAGTCTTTCCCCTGATGGTTTGGAGGGCTTTCCTCAGATCGAACAGAAAGACCGCTATCTCTGGTGATCGATGAGGCACCCCTCCTTCTTCATCACATCTTTGGGGCGACTTTAGGCCCTTTTAGGGCCCTCAGCAGGGTGAAATCGGGCATGGAAGACAGAGCCCTGTCTTCCTGCATCCGTCTCGCCACTGATGTCAAACCGGAAGTCTGGAATTTTTTTTATAGTTCTCAAGAACATAACAGTTTTCAATCCATCTAGCTTGCTTCTTCGATGTATTATTTTCGAGATAGAGGTAGTTCTTTACAATGAACTACCCAAAGAATGAACAATTCCAGCTAGGGAACTTTAAAACCTAAGAGCCACACAATGCAAAATCATCCAGCATTCTATGGCTAAAAAGATGCCAATGGAAAGACATAGTTACAGCATCCTCCACTTATATTTCCTAGTATCTGGTATTGAGAGGTATTGTACCTTTTGTTACTATTGTTTAGGAATAATTTTAATGGAAAGTGGGCTAAGTCTTAAACTCCAAGAATTTGTCTGGGGTTTTTTTTTACACACACCCAAGTTAGTAGCCTACCATAACTACTATATACTGCTAAGTGTAAACTCTGAGTAAACTGCTTATTCTTTTAAACTTCATTTGCTGACATTTGGCTGTACTATTTTTTAGAGGAAGAAAGAAAAGCTGTTCTCACAACACTACTTTCTCTATTAGATGCACAGTAATGTTTACAGTATGTTTATAATGTATTCTTTATACATTATATACACACATTATATATATATATATATATATATAAATATGTTTTCTGAGGTTTTCACGGGTGTTTGTATGTAGGTCTTTGGTCATTCGGGTTTTCTCCCGTGTAGAATTGGAAGTGTCCTGGTGACGTTTCGACGAAGTCACATTCGTCATCTTCAGGCTGGTGTCTTCAGCTTCGTGCTTCTGGGAGTATACACACACTACTCCCAGAAGCACGAAGCTGAAGACACCAGCCTGAAGATGACGAATGTGACTTCGTCGAAACGTCGCCAGGACACTTCCAATTCTACATGGGAGAAAACCCAAATGACCAAAGACCTACATATGTATGTATGTATGTATGTATGTATGTATGTATGTATGTATGTATGTATGTAGGTCTTTGGTTATTCGGGTTTTCTCCTGCATAAAATTGGAAGTGTCTTGGCGACGTTTCGATGAAGTCCCATTCGTCATCTTCAGGCTGGTGTCTGATGACGAATGGGACTTCGTCGAAACGTCGCCAAGACACTTCCAATTTTACGCGGGAGAAAACCCGAATAACCAAAGACCTACATACAAACACCCGCAAAAACCTCAGAAAACATATATATATACACACAATACACAAACACACACAAATAGTATAACTTTGCTTCATTTTTCCTTTTTTTTTAAAGCCGGAAAGTTTTACCATTGCTGAATTGGTTTTCAATTTGTCACCACTACTAGCCTCAGTTCCTCACATATTTTTATTTGAAAATGAGCTGCTATTTTTAGTATCATCCCATATCTTCTATAACAAAAATGGAAAGATATGTATTCATTTCTGCTTTTATATACCACTTTTTCATTACTAATTCAAGGCAAAATAGAATGTCTCTCCTATTTATCACCAGAGAAAACCCCAGCCATGTGAGATTTGAGCTAAAAGAGAAAGTGCTTGGTTCACACTGAAATAGGAAGTTAAGCACGGGTCTTTCTCAATTCATATCAAACATTTTTAACAATCTATTTGCAAACTCATCCTTCCTTTGTTATTCAGTAGTCCAAACATTCCTGTGTTTTCTCATTTGTGAAGTCATTGTTATTTTCAGTATCTTTAGAGATGTGCTTCACAGAATGCATGTTTGCATCATTTATTTTATTTCATTAGTTCTTTAGTGCCAGCTTGTCTTTAAAAAAAAAAGTTACCATTGGAGCAGCATTTTCATTTTTTGAAAGGAGAGCTGGCATTTTTCTCATAGTTTCTATGACATTGATCATTATCCATGCAGGTCACTGCTTTGACTTTACATTTCGTAGCTAGCAGAATGCAGTCTGGCTGAGTTTTGTCCCAGATGTGTGACAGTTAGCATGCTGGTTTCACTTAAGTAACAATGGAATTTAGAGTTATCCGTTAGGCCACGGAGATAGGGGAGATAGAAGCTTGATTCTCTCATTGTGCCAAACTACTTGCATTCAGAGTTTGTGCCCTGAGTTGCTTTAATAGAGCTAATCATAGAATTCTGGGAGATTTAAAAGAGATTCTATAAGGTCCTTAGTACTTGGTGGGAGACCAATAGAGATTCCAAGGCTAGATTACTAAATTACCAAAAAAAAAAAAAAAAAAACCAACCAAAAAACCTAGAAGGTGGCAATAGCAAACCTTTTTTTGTAATATTACCAAGAAAACTGCATGGAAGCAGTTGAGGATATCTTTATTATACTATAATTAGAATGTTTCCTTCAACAAATTTTATTCTTCTGCACCATTCACAGATGATTATCTTAACTACACTGACTTGTTTCCCTTTCAAGACAGTTGACTATTAATTATTGCCTCTAATAAGATGAATACATGCTTCATCTATTGAAGTTTTTACAAATACTTGCAGGAATAATGTGCTTGACCTTTGTCATATTCAGATCTTACCACTGTTATTTTCATTATTTGTCTGTATTACAAATTGATACTTTTCAGCTAAATTTTCTATGGATAATGGTGCAATATCTACTCTGAGACACATTTCAGAATATTGATCTGATTTGAAATATCTCTATGATGTATGGTTTGTTTCAAAGATAAAGATAAAGAAATTGACAATATCTTTGGTAAGAGAAATGCCAGGCTTATCTAAGAATATACTGGGACACACAGCTACATTTTTAAAGTTATATTCCATCCTTTCAGCAGAATGCTTCCTTAAATTTCTTAAAGCCACAACCCCCTTTTTTTCAAATATGTAGAAGCCTGTAAAACAGACATGTCAAACTCGCGACATCGCATTACGTATCAGGACGGTTTTGCCATTGCCGGCAATGGGGTGGGCACAGATTCCACTCTGCAGTGTGATGTCACGCTGGCCACATGACCACAGAAAAGTTTTTGGACAGCTCTGCCTCAATGGCCTTGAAATGGTGATGGGTACCAACCCCTAAAGTCAGCTACAACTAGCAGAGCAAAACCCACAGGGAACCCTTTACCTTATATTTTATTGATTATTTAACCATTTTATGACCTAAAGTTTAGGGAGATTGTTTTCTGTTAAGACAGAGATGATTTTATCTCTTTATCTGAGATCTTTCCTTAATAGATCTTAATAGTTATTGACAAAGAAGCAAAAACTATCTATAAATATAGATTTCTTTCTAAAGGTCAAGAATAGAAATCAGAGTGCTATTTTTTCAAGTGAGACATACTATAAACATTTAATATATCTCCATTCTCAGGCTAAAGAGAGTTATCAGAGAATAAATATCTAGACTCCTAGATATTGAATATCAGATAAGAGAAGCCTTCTCCTAGCATTTATCCAAATACAATCTAACTACCCTGGGTAGAAATCAGTGACACCAACTATCCCCATTTCAAGAAAGATTTTTTTTCTTGGGATTAAATACTAGCTTCCTTTCTATATTTTTAAATAAGAGATTTAGTTACTGGTTTCCATAGCTGGTTGAACCTGCCCTTGTGTTGATGTTTCAGTTGAATCAATCTATTCTCTGTGTACTGTTACACTTTACTTTCTATAACGATACTTGAAGAAAATTCAGTTTTCCTTTGTTGTCCATATTCCAAGTCAGTCTGAGGAATGTTACATTAATTTCCTTATATAAAATAAGAAAGACTTTGTGCGTAATAAGCTATGGAAGGTTAAAAATGTGTGCAAACAACTTCTGATCTACATAAGTAAGCTTTATATTTGTTCTACCAATCTTTGGTCCTATATGAATAAATTAGCAATTATAACATTTATACTTTAGATTATTAAATTGTACAGTACAATTTGTTTTTACATTGTTACTACACCGCTGGTTAATATACTACGGATAAAAATTTAAAATTCACTTAAAATTAAGGTTGTGGTTCGTTTTTCTTATCTAATTTTAAATATCAGTTTTGGTTCCCAACTTCAGTCTTAATACATGTAGTGAAGCGTTATTTTACTTACCTAAGGATAATTCACTTGCACAGCTGGATTTTATTATATTTTGTTTTTTCAGCTACCCATGACAATAATAGTTATCTGTATGCTTACCTAGCTAAAATCCCTATAAGACAAAAAAAAAAATGGGGTAAGTGATATTAAAGAGTTTTACAAGAATGTAGTGGTGAGAACTTAAATCATTGAATCCCATGAAGAATTTTTAGGCCATTATACGGTATTTATTTCTAGAAAATATCTTGCCACAATGTTTGTCAGTCACTCACTCTACTGTAAGAACACATTGTGACAAGGCTGCCCTCTTATGTTCAGTGGACTTATCTTGATTAAGACCCTGACCAGATTCTTTGTGTTAGTGCTTTATTGGAAACCTGTTTGTTTTGCTTACAATTTTCAGTCAATTTAATGAAAAATAAACTCTGTTAAAAAATCAGAAGATAAAGCAGGGGCGGGTGGACTTGGAAGGGTATTAGTTTTACCTCTGTCTGGTCTCCAGTCCATCCTTTATACTGGAGCATATTGTTTTTAAAGTATTTGCTTCTACTCTTTTAGAACTAAATGTTTTTGTAAAGCCATCACAACACTGTCTCTTATCAATAGCCCTGAACCAAACATTATCCATTTACAAGATGTAAATGATACCTTGAATCCTAAAGAGAAGAAGTAAAAGAAACCTAATGGAACTGTAACATTTCTTGGGACAATGTAGGAGATTCCATTCCTATATATAATTAATATTCAAGACGCTTTTCAATCCTCTGGAAAGGCAAAAAAGGCTGGGAACTTCTAGCTTTTATCTCTATTCATACTAGTGAGGACCCCAGACAAAGAGATAGATGTGTGATGGGTACATTTTATTAATAAATATCCTGTTGCAGCAATTAATTAACCTTTTCCCAATGTATTTTTCTCCTTAAAGATTATACTACTTGCACTCTGCAAGGTGTGCTAATTATCTCCTAATAGTCATAGCTAAAAGGATTAATATTTGTGTGATGGTACAAGATTGTTGCTATTCACTGTTGCAAAAGCAATGAGCTCATGTATATTGGTAGTTTTGTTGATTTTAAGAGTACTTCCTCAAAAAAGATTCTGTTAGAGAAGGAACAACTTCAGTTCTGCAGTTCTGAAATCCCAAACTTGATTGCAAAACAATAAAGCATTCTACAATGCTTGGCTTACTGGTTTTAGAAGCATTATGGTTCCATTTTTCCAACTGAGGGAACACTTGCTTCATTTCTCCTCCTCCTGACATTCAGGTCCCTATAAGGGGAATCCTAGCATTTTATCAGCATTCCAAACAAAATGAACATGAAATTTGTCAGTTTACCCCTTCTGTATAGTAGTAGATCAGCCAAAATGCAAAGCATGGTCTATTTTGTTCTCTTGTACTTTCTCTTATATGGCATAGTAAGAAAGGGGTTTTTAGTTTCTGCAAAATCTGCAGGATGGGTCAGGGTGGATTCTCCTCATCCTTAGTATTTCAAATCAGCAATAGTAAAAACAATCACAGATGGCTTTCAATGTGCAATTGAGCATTGGGGGAATGAAAACAGTAATAATATGGATGTGTAACTTTTCTCAGTTGTGTATTGTTGTGCTTAGACTGGATTGTAATAAAGAATAAACCTTTCATTACACACATTATTAAAGTATAAATGTATGTTTATAGGTGGCCTCTTGTATGCAGTTAATGGGAAGCCTTACCCTGGAGACCGGGAGCCAGTGCAAGCATTTGTGATGAACTTTTCAACTGGAGAAATTGTTGATACTTTCATTCCACTTAGAAAGGTAACACATTGTGAAAATTGACTTGGTATTATTAAAAATGCATGAATGTTCTTTTTGTTTCTTTTCTATATCTTGTGCACATTTCAAATTTCATTATGAAAAATCTCAGATTTAAAATAATCTTTTATGGATTTATCCCTCTAACTCATGTAATGGATTTCTCATATTAGAGAATATCACTAAATAACTTATCAGTGCAATCTGGTACTTAACTCTAAAATGTTTAACCTAACAACGCATGGGATTTCATGTCAGAGAAACTATTTTGAATTATTTATTAAAAGAGTTCAGCTAAAAAAATTAATATGCAAGACAAACTACTGCAACAGTATTTTAATAATAATGTGGCAATAGCTAATAAGAAATCAGCATATATTTTCTCTTTAAAGATTTACATACTAGGTGGTCCATTGGATTGCATCAATTGTTGCATAAGATGCTTCCTTAAATGTACGTAAGTAATGCACTGAAGACTGGATTAAATCTAGAGTTATCCTAAGGATTTTGGATGTTCCTCGATGTGGGGAAGCAGTGAATTCAATAACTTTTTATTTGCCAAATTCTGAAAGTATTCTTAGTTTGCTGAACCAGAAGCAGATGGTATTGCACTTTCTGGATTGCCCTTTCTATTTTGTAGTTGAATTTTCCAAAACTAGAACAAAAGGATGGTAAATTTAAATACATTGATGAAACAGCTTCATTAATCTGTGTCTGAGAATCAGCAAATTTCTGGGGTCAGAGAATTATGAAAGACTATTAGAAAAACTTTAAAGCGAGAATGCCAACTAGAGAGAAAAATATGTTCCAAAGAGAAAAGCTATCTGTACGGAATTCTGATTTCTGGATCCTAACACTATTGTAACATAACAGAGCATGCATGAATATATTTGGAAATTGGGGTTTTATATACTAATACTGGACCGGATTTGATGTTATTGTCTTGTTGTTGATTTGAGTTTTATAGGTATGATTTACATGAAAATACAGAATAGAAATTAATAGTCTCACTTTGATGCTTTATAACAGTTGGAGCGCATGCATTGGTCCTCTTTAGGTTTTTTTTTAATCTGCAAAATAATTCAAGGAAGAAAGAGGAAATGGTCTCCCAATATTTTTCAATGAACTCTCCTTTTTCTACTTAGCTTTAACTATACTACATGCAATATCTGGCTCAGAGTTTATGCAGCACACAGTGGCTTATTGCCTCATATGGAAAGGCTTTTATTTAATTAGGCTACAGCCACAAAGAGATAAGAGTACAGGCCAAGAAATAAATTTGATTTGTTAATGTAGGGAGAGAAGAGAGATTTCACTGAGGGCAAGTCACTACATTGTATTAGTGTTTTCTGTTATTTTCAGCTTGTCTGTAGCTGCCACTATGCATGTAGAATCAGTTTGCCATCAGATTAAAATTAATCAGTATTCTAGGCTTTCGTCTGCTTTGAAAACTTAAAGCAAATGTCAACCGCACTTGAATAAATTCCCTTTTCCACCTATGTGTTTTTCTGATTATTGAGAATAGGAAACAAACAACATTGTTTAGTAAAAAACACCAATATCTATTTTATCAAAAGAATGATGGTTTAGAAGTAATCTAGGATTTTTGCAGAATGAAATCTCTCCAGAGTCTTCCACTTATAGTTAAAAAGTATATTTTGTTTCCTCAACCATATCCCTGCTATGAATCTTTCACAATTTATACAAATTATGATTAAAAGTTTAAACGCTATTTGTCGAAATCCTGTAATTCTGCATCTTGAATTACTGAATAATTTCCAATGTCTTCCTTATTTTAATATGTTGGCTATTTACCTCCACAGAATTTTGAGATGCCACATGACATTGTTGCTTCAGAAGACAGAACAGTATATGTTGGTGATGCTCATGCCAACACGGTGTGGAAATTTACATCCACAGAAAGTAAGATATTGTTGCCTTATATCATCAAAGCATTAATATTTTCATATAAAAAGATGATATTCTTAAAGCTGCTGTACATTACGTCTTAATACATGTGGGGCAAAATTCTTGTAAAACAGTTCTAATGCTATTTGATGGATTAACCAAGGATTTTGGTTCCCCTAAAGTTCTATTTTGTTAAGGTGTTTGTGAAACCCCAGATGATTTTTTTAAAAGTTAGCATTGTTCTGTACATGCAACATTTTAAACTGTCCAGAGTTTTAGCTAATAAATAATTGCTTGTTCCCCGTATTTCTCAGAAGCCTTATGAAACTACTGTGAATTAAAATGTGGTTAATACACAGTTATTCTTTTTCAGTGACTATTGGTAAGGAAAAATAATGCTTTGAATCATCAGAGCTAGACTAAGTAAGAGTCTAAACTTGTAATCAAATCCAAACAAGACCAACGGGGATTGTTACTTTTGCTCTTTTAGAGATTCACCAAGATGATTTGCAATATTAAATGCTGTGTTGCCATGTGTGGCTTTATGATCTTGTTAAAGAGAGCTCTTCATCCCAGGTTGTTCCTTAGCATCTGGCATGCAATGTCCATTGACAGGCCAGCTGAGAATCGTAGTCACTCTGCTGTGCAAATGGTTTGATTTTCATTTTCCTGTGCCACTTTCACATCTTGTTAACCTAAATAAGTTGTACCCAGTGGAATATTTACTATCACTTGGTCATTGAAGTTGGCACTAGTTCTTGGCTGAAACTGTCTCTTTCAGTATCTGACTTAAAGTCTTCAAGGGATCATTCTATTGTAGATATTTTTCTCATTTTATATTTTTTAAAAGCATAATAAAACAACAAAATGAAGACATTTGAAAGCAGAAATAGATATGAATGAAAGAACTGAAAGGATTCCCTGATCACAATCTTCTGCCAACCTATTACACATCAAGAATAAATGTTTTGTGCTGACATTTTGGTTTATGTTTCTGATTTCCTGGGTAGAAAACCTTTCATTATTTATTCTGAAAGAAATGTACTACTTACTGTATGCTACTTATAGTATAACCCCTGCTATTCTAGAGCTGTTGTGCATTCTTATACTTGCAACATCAATTATGTATCACAACTGGTGACCATTACTGGTTCAATGAATCATAGACATCACAGTGTTTCAAAAGCAATTTCTGTGTTTCAGAAATGGAGCATCGGTCTGTTAAAAAGGCTGGGATTGAAATACAGGAAATAAACGGTTAGTCTTTATTTCTGCCATTTAGGCTCACGGGAAGATGCTACTTCTGTGTAGGAATGTGCAAAGTGCTGCAACCCAAAACAATCTGACCACAAAGAAGCTGTTCTGATTTCCCTGATTTTGTGTTTTGAGAGTTTAATTTAAAGATTGGAACAAAACCCAGGCATGAAATGGAACTTGTTTGTTATGAGAGCAATTGCTTTGAGTGTTGCAACTGTTCTGATCACTGTGATCAGCAATTGTTTTGTAACTTATGCATGAATTCTCTTTGAAGACATCCATCCCCAAAACATCAAGAATGTTTTGTACTTTCTAGTTTGCAAGCAGTGCCTTAAGTGTTCCATATCACTCTGAACTAGAGCTGCAGAGCAATAGAAAGATTAAATGTTGATGTGTAGTTTGAAGACTGATTGTCCCAGCCTTTCCATTGTTATTTTCCAACAATTGGGGGTGGGGGTGGACTGGCTTTGGTCTACACAATTCTTGGGATTGGCTTGCAAAACTCAGAGCCAGCAAAGACTCAACATACAATACAGGAGTTCCCTTCTAAAATATGCAGTCTCTGTTTGGAAGGGGGAAGCTTGGCTTGGAAACACTATATCTGAGAAGACAAGGGTGTATTCACTGACAACAAATTGAACGTGAGCCAGCAGTAGGAGACAGGGTGAGTGCAGTTCTGGGCTGCATTAGAAGAAACGTCATGTCTAAGATGTCTGACGTTATTATTCTGCTGTTCTCAGTTCTAGTGAGACTAAAGCAAGAGTATTCTGTGTTGAGTCTGGGTGACACATTTCCAGAAGGATATTGACTAAATAGAGAGGGATCAAATGAGGTCAAGGAAAATAAAACAGGAACTTAAGGTCCTGCACTGAATAATAGATTGAAGGAGCTTGGAAAGTTCCTCCTAGAAAAAAGATGATTAAATGGAGATATGATGTTCAAGTACATAAAAGGAAGTTACAGGAAGGATAGTCAATAACTATTTTCCATGGCTGCAGAAACTAGGGCTAGAATTAATAGCAGCTATTTATATTTAAGTATAAGAAGAAGAAAAAAAACTTCTGATGGTTAGACCATCAGATATAAAGTGGAACAGTATAGCTGTAGAGATTGTAGATTCTCTATTTTTGGAGATCTTAAAGAGACTATACAGCTATCTCTCATTAGTAGTCTAATTGTGTGTCCTACACACTGCTGAGGATTAGACTAGATCATCCTTGCAAAATGACATTCTGTGATTATATAGATGCTTGTCCGGAAAATACTTGTGCATATGAAATAAAAGGATATAGTTTGACACACACACGTTTTTGTTAAATATTAAATTGTATGATCAGCTTCATTTAGGCAATGAGTTACAACCACCAATAGGAACTAAGTGTCCTTGGTCCAAAAATGATGACAGTAGGAGAATGGAGTAGAATGAATAAATTATAAGGAGGAGGAACATTAAGAGAATAATACTGTTATTTCTAAAATCCTTATGAAATTTGTTTTAATCATGGAAAGGATCTAGTATACAGTAACAGCAGTATTTTATACTGTTAGTCGTAAAAACAACATTTGCATAGAATCATATGGGTAAACATTCATCCTCTTTCTCTTCCATCTGTTTTAGTCTTTTTGGACTGGCCACAAATATAGGATTCAAAGTCACACATTGCTATCTATAGTACTGTAGAGCTCACCACACCTACAGAACAAACTTGAAGAACAAACTTTATAAATTGATTGTGAGGATAAATAAACAGTGTTTCATTTTACACACAAAGAATGAATTTTAACAAGTAAAGTTCTCTCTGTTTGGCGAGCCTTGATTACAAATCCATCATGTATCTACCAAAGACAAGTATAGAAATTTCCAGCAATTACATGAGGCACTTGAGAGGAATTGCAAACAATTGATTGCACAGTCAATAATTTTGACTTTCTGTTAGGAAGTTATCATACTTGCCCTCTTCAAGGCAAGTATCTAAAAGCTAGTATTTAAAAGTGGCAGTAGGTGTTCTGAAATGAACTATTATATTGTAGCAGATTCTGCATGGATCAAAAGAGTTAATCTGTCTTTAATCTCTTCTTCTCTCCAAAAAAAGCAGAGGCAATTATAGAAGGCACGCTGACAAAGAAACCCACATCAAAAGAATTTTTAAGGAAAGAAGAAAGACATCAAGTTGTCCAGCAGGCTAGCAGTTCTGTTTCTTTTGTTCTTATTACAACACTTCTAATTATTCCAGTAGCTGTCCTCTTGGCAATTGCCATGTTTATTTGGTGGAGAAAGACAAGAATCTATGGAGGTAATTAATCTGTGTTTAACCTGGTAACAAGCATATAAACACCTTTATAACATAGAAGAACTTCAAAAATATTTATTTCCCACTGCCGCAGCATTGTCAATTTCTGATTATGTTAACTGACTGCAAAAAACACACATCGTGGGATCTTTGTCCTGAGAAATCAGGATGTGTTGTAATGTTCTTCTTTATATTCACTTCAGTTTTCAATTAGGATGAATGTTATTGTGGTATCTGGGATAATACTCTGAGTTTATAGCATTGCTTATTATGAAAGGGAATATATATGTCTACTGCATAAAAAGGATTGTTGGAACGGTCTTGCTGTTTTGTTTAGCTTTTCCTGAACAAAATAGAATGGAAACACCCATTCCTTCAGATGTTTCTCCTGTATTTGTTAGAATCTATTCTGGCATTGATTCTCTCTGTGCCATCCAAAGACAGCTACTTTCTGTTTTAACCTCTCGTAAAACAGTGCTTGCAAGGCTCCAAAATTATAGCAGCAGTTCAGTTGTGTGCACTAAAAATACACACAGCAGCATCAAAGGTAAAAGCATACTGTTAAAATCTGTTCCCTAGCCAGCTCTATAAACATGTCGATGCAATTATTAAGCATTATTCTCAGAAAAGAATTGAATTTATGGACAAATGCCTCTTTAAACTCCATACCAGTTCTTTAAGGAAAGGCAGCTTCAAATGTGCTTTTGAGTAGAAAAGGGATGAAAGCACATAAGATATCTAATCCTCTCATTGCCTTTATTAGGACACAAATGCCTTTTCTTCCTATGTTCTCCTGTAGGCCCCAAAACCCCATTAATTGTTGTCAAAATTCACCATCAGAGTTTATTTCCAAATTTGAATGTTACTTTTAAAGCTTTAAATTTCAGTTTTGGATGGATAATTAGTAACAGAAATACACTCTTTCCTTTTTTATGCTCACTTTTTTGGGTATATTTCTCCTCCTAAACACTGTATAATGTACATATATTACCCTTGGACTGAAAATTATTGCCCCCAACTGAACATATAAAATGTTTTGAGTAAGTGTAACTTTTATGAGGAAAGTCATACTTTATACAAGAAACATTTTGTAATCAAGATAGACCTTAAGAGCTTGGATTCACAAATATTACATGCAGCTTTCTCTCCCAAGTATGAAATTTTCCAGAAAAAAGTATTTTAAATATCTGAAGTTGAATGAAAGTTTATTAACTTTTTTAAGATAGCTTGAATACTATATTACAAAAACCAACTTAGTTTTGCTAACTTTAAAAGGCTGTGTGTTTGTGTGTGAGAAAGAAAATATGAATATCAATTATGAATTAACTGGTGTGTATTATAAAAAGAAATTAAAACAATTTATATTGTTTCAGCTTTTTAGTTTGACTTCACCATTTTTTCAGGGACAGCAGAAAAAGTATCAGTCAGAAAAGGTGGTTTTATGTTTGGCTTGACAAGTAAAATATAGTTCAAGGAATCAGTGGGAACTAGAATCATTTGTAAATCACAGCCTTAATGGTAATACTCTGCATAGTTTTGTTTCTCTTCCATGTTTTGCTTCTTGTAATTTCATTTTAAAATTCTTGCTCCTAATTTACATTTGTCTCTTAATCTTATAGCTGATGTTGATCATAAACATGATTCAAGCTCAGGTAGAATTTTGGGCAGATTTAGAGGTAAGTACAATAAAAGAACTAGTGTAGCCTTTCTAAAACTTAAATGTTATTTCCCTTGCATGTTCTCTTGTATAGTTGTCTTTCCTCTGATAATGAATCCAGCAGTTACTCCTGATGAGAAAGCTGTAATGATGTTGGTGAGTCATCTACTTATATACCAGACAAAGCCTTTGGGAATTGATGATTTCTTAGAGGAACACAGGCAAAGCAAAGACTAAGAAATTGATTTCCTTTCCCAGACCTGATCTTTATCTAAATGAAGAAAAATAGTAGTAGTTTCTGTCAGCCTAAATTCTAAATATCTCTGAGCTAATTTTAAGCAAGGAGAGGCAAAGGATTAGAGAAAAGAGAAAGCAAAACCTATTATACTTCAAAATCCAAATTCCGCTTTGTGCTTGTATCATGTCTCACTTGACAAGAAATAGAAAGAGGGTAGATGTTGCCTTTGGTTGAAAGATCAGAGGACAGTTCAATGTCTTTTAAGGTGTCTCTTGAAGTTGACCAGAAGGAGCTGATAAGCTGAAAAAGTTGAAACCCAAAAAACCAAAATAATAACGTAACTAACATGTCTTTTTGTAAGCCACCCAGAATTACCCTGTGGTAAGATGGGAAGCCAATATATTCAGTAATAAATAAAAAATGTCTGAAAAATAACATGACCCTCGTCCTAAAGTTGATTTCCATTGCAGGAAAAGGCAGTGGAGGCCTCAATCTTGGGAATTTCTTTGCAAGCCGTGCAGGTTATAGTCGAAAAGGGTTTGACAGACTTAGTACCGAAGGGAGTGATCAGGAAAAGGAAGAGGATGCCACGGATTCAGAAGAGGAAGAACCCGTCTCTCAGCCTCCAGCGATACCCTCATCTTCTTCTTGAAACTGGCCTTTAATTGTTACATGGTCCGCGTCTACAAAGATTGCCAGATTTAGCACGTTTTAAGATTTTACGTATTTAATTGTAAACTGTACTAGTCCTTTGTGAGGCTGTACACAGATTAATTTTGTTTTTGTTTTTCCCTCCCCTCCCCTTTTGCTTCAGTTCAGTTTTGGAGTGTGAACATTTCCTATCAGTGCCATTGTTTTATGTGAACCTTTTAATAAAGCAGAGCAATCCCACTTTATTGCAGTAATGCTTTAAAATGCTTTAAAATAGTAATATTTACTCATTTCAATTAGGGACCATCTCTATATTTGTAAATAAGTCCCAGCCTCAGCTTTAAGAATACTTTTGGTTTTCAGTTTTTCTTTGGTGCCTTTTCACTTTCGATGCCCTTAATCTATCACAGAACAGTGCCACAATGAAACAGAGCCACTAAATCCCCTATTTTTTTAAAAAAATATCACAAGTATTCTATTACTTTAAGGGAAAGATTTTAAAAAGTCTCTATTTATAATTGGATTTTTTTCCCCCTTCTCTTCCTTCTTGCTCAGACTTTGTGTGTTTCCAGGATGTCTTATTTTTAGATGGCTATACTGTTAGAACACTATTTTCAGAAGCTGAATGTAACTTGTGTAATAAAGTGTTCGCAGAGCATCAACTGTCAAAGTGGAATTTTTGCATTTGGGGTGAAGGGGAAATGACTTTGGAAACCGCCCAGTTAAAAAAATCACCAATCCCCCAAAAAACTACAAAATATTTTTTTTAAAAAAACACAGTAACTGAAAAGATGACTCAAATGGTATTTTATATGAAAGAAGATATTTTGTTAAGGAGTGCTTTTTATAAGAGAAAAAAGCAAATCAAAAAGTTAAAATTCCATTATCTGTATGATTCCTGTTGTTGGGAGGTTTTTTTATTATTATTATTAAATCTGGCCTGTATATCCATCCTCCGGGGCAGATACCAAAATAAAACATTGCTGGAACAGGAAATGTGTGTCAACTTGCATAAGAACTGTTTTTCTTCCTGTATCTTTCCTCAGTTATACCATATAGCCCACATATGATTATCATATCAGCTTGTTTTAAAATTTGGCATTTTAAAGCACTTTAGAATGCTCAAAATATTTAATTGATATATATTCCAATAGTTCAAACAGTAACCAAAATTCTTCATACTGCATATGAGTTAAATATCAAAAAGGAAATTCATGGCAAATGTATTATTTGAAATGGGGCTTCCTGATTAGTCATTAAGGTTTAGGCAGGTCTACTCAGAAGCAAGTCTCATTGTGTGAACAAATAATTTTTTTTTCAAACAGTCCCAGTTTATTTCACTACTGAAAAAATGTGCGTATTGATACATCATTAATATACCTGTATTATGTATCATACATAGGCTGTATGTTTCTACAGAATCCAGTTTGAGAATTAGAACAAGAAAGTAGGCCTGAAGTACATCCATTCCAAACTGTTCACTTGATTTAATTTGCTCTTCTTTTTCAACACAATTGTAACCTCAGGAATGTTTTTCTTTTTTCTTTTAAGCTATATGTACATACCTTTTACATTTTTTAATCTTTGCTATGCTTTTCCTTATTTTTTAGGTTAGTATTACTACTACTGAAATATCTTTCCATACAAGCATTTATGTGACTTGGCAAACACAACACTACTTTATAATCACGTTGTCACGTTGGTGGAAATCTTTGAATATCTTCAGATACAGGCTTAATAAGGGCTTTCTTCTTGGATCACATGACCATTCTATAATATGCTTTTTTTTTAGCTTCTTTGGCTTAAGAACCCCAAGGCCCCTTTCTATGTTGGCGGCTTCATCTAATCTCCAGTGATGGTCCTACATCCATCTTGTAGGACAAGCTCCATTGCATATTCCATACTAGGTTTCTCTGACAATGATAGACTCTTCTTTTGTATTTCATAATCTTAAATAAAATTAAATATTTAAAAATGTTGTTGCAAAAAAAATTCTGGCCACATCTGTTTTAACAAGGGAACAAGCTTAAAAATATATTGTTTGAAAGATTATGATTTTTCATAGAAAGGGATGACAATTATATGCATATGTCCAGATCTATTTTTCTTGATTTCTGAAAATAAGTTTCTTGAAGCAATTCAAATAAAGGTGGAAGCACAATTTCTTGATAAAACAAAATTGTAAGAAAAGAAATTTATTGATTATTACTCTATATCTTTGTAAAACCAACATTATGCAAAGAGAAAAATTGGAAATAGAGAATAAATAAGCTGTTTGCAGTGGAGCAGAAAATATGCAGAATATTAGAATTGTCTCAGCCATTCTCCCTCCCCCCCTTTTTCTTGAACTTTAAAGTCTATGTCTTTCGCAAATGTTTAGTTTATTTGGCCATTCTGTATACTTTTAGCAAAAGCAAAATAAATGTCATTTATTTTGTCCCCATATGAGTAATACTGTGCAATATATTGCAATAGTATATTAACTCTTAAACACACACACGAAAAAAGAAAGTAAATGTCCAATTATGCACAAACAGGTTGCTTGTAAAAGCAAACCTCAAAGCACCTTTAGCTGGAATTTTAGTGACAAATAGAAAAATAGAGTCATCAGGCCAGAACAAGAGGAAGTGTCTTGTCAGCAGGGAGCTTGCTAAAGAAAGGGAGTGATAGCTGCAGTAAGCCAAGTAATGCATTGTTTACACACTGCTGAAGTGTAACACTTTTCATTATCTCTAATATTGGGGCTATGAAACCTGATCAGATTCTACTGATATCCTGATGGATACAATAGAGTTTGAAATTAACTAGGATCCCACCTTTTATCCCCAGAGCAGATAAGGCCCAAGGCGCCACAGACAAGCATGCCAATCTAAGCATCATGCAGTTACCTGAAGGTGTTCCAATTATGTGGAATTACCATCCCAATTAAACAGCTGTCCTTGCCATCAAATATCATTAGGTGGAAATTGGTTCCCTGGGAGGCATCTTGATTAAGTAGTGTTTTCCAATTAAGCAGTGCACTAAAGTAGTTAATCAGAATTTATAGATCAATGTGGTATATTGGAGTAGCACAGTATAGTGTCTATATAGTTCCCCCATCCTTATCCTACCTTTCCTAGCTTGATTTATGAGTATTCCTTCAGACCATAATGTCTAGCTATCACTTCTGATACTAATTCCTGCAACCCCAAATCAGGATGACAAACATGCTATTTATAAAAGGTGCAAGACAAATGAAAGTTTTAGCTATACATCTGAAACTAGGGTTGCTTGGAAGTTTGAGGCTATTCACAATGCAACATCAAGATTAAGCCAGGTTTCCTTTCTTACTATAACTACAGTTTTTGCCTGACTATAGCAGCAGCAGGGTCCTTGGTGCTCTCTGAGCTTGCTTGTTTTCTTGCAGATGTTTCATTACCCAAACTAGGTAACATCATCAGTGCTAGTCATAGTATTCTCCTTTATTATAGCAGCAGCATTTGGAGGAGTTGAAAGAGCATCCATTTCTCTCTCCCCATCTGAGGAATTACAGTGGCCATTGGAAGATTATGCAATCCATGTAGATTTTTTCCTTCAAAAATTGATCCATAAACAAGTGGATTACAAGCTAGCTTTTTTTGTTGCCAAAAATAATAGCAGATTTAAAATGTTGGGTAAGAAATAAAACAGCAACATTCAGTATATTAAAGTAACTAATGAAATAATTTCAGTCCTTGGGATTCAATCTACAGCTAGAATTTGGCACCATATATGTCTAGAACTCCCTTCATGTTACATAATCCCTGCTCCTCTTGGTTCGTTGCATTAAAAATAAATAAGCAAATAAATGATGCAACTGCTGCCATGCTGCAAAGCACACAATTTACCATACCTCTTATATCTTCTTGCACCCAAGCATAGATATGAAAAACAAAAATGCAACAAAGCAATAACATAAAATATAAATAAATATAAAGGATGACCTAGTGCTTTGTTTGAAGAATATGCTTACCTGTCCGGAAAGCTTTAAACAGAGTAGGAATTCAAGAATGTAGACTAGAGGAAAGACTTCCTGTGATTTGCAACTAGTCCCGTTCTGTGAGGCAACAATTCCATTAACAAATTAATCTCCCAGAATATTTTTTTTAAGTGAATGGAAATGCTGTTCAAAGTACAAATATAACAGCCCAAACTTGGGCAAAATATAGAACTAGGAAGTTGGAAAAACCCGTCCAGGTCACTTAGCTGCTATTTCCAATGAAACTCACAGTAAACTAATTTGGTGAGTGAGAATTAGTTATGCTGTCTTTAGCTACCTCAATCAGGTGAATTAGTCCTCCTACACTCCTACAGGGAATAGGTACAGTGTATATTTCATAATCAAAGGTACCTTTTAACCAATCTTAGGTTTATCTTTCTACTGTATTAATGGCTAAGACTATAGTGATACTAAATGCATAAT